AGGAAAGGCATTTCAAACTAACTTTAAGAAGCAGCAATTTCTGACATCTTTAACTTTGAAAAAAGATCATGATTAATACATGATTTATTACCTCCAAGTAAAAATAAAGTTAATGGGACAAATCAAAATCAAGTTCTTCAAATTAAAAGCCTTTTCCCCCCTTACATGGAACCCAGTCTGATTTATTGATTTATTCACCAAAATTTGAGTGTCAATTATATTCAGCTTTTAACTGACTTAAAACATTTTCTCTCAGAAACTGTGACTTCATACTCACCAAGGTAATAAATCCTGTCTGAATGAGGCCCATCTGGATCATTCCTCTTCACGAACATAAAATCATGTGGTGCCTTAGCCATCATGTAGCCATGATATTTTCTGGTATCAGCAAGTAGCTTTTTAAGCTGACTCCAGGAATATCGCTCAACATAAAACGGCTCCAATTTAGGCCGATCCTGTGATTCAATATTCTCCTCACACTCTGCAGTTTCAAATATCTCAACACCCAGCTGTTCTGTTTCCATTGCTGCTGCCATGTTGCATTTTCCTAGAAAAAGATGGCAAATGAAGCTGTACACAGGCCTGTCTTCTCTTATATTATCAGAATGATGACAGTCTGATAGGGCCAAAAAAAAAAAAAGAGGGAAGAGGGCAAGAAAAAAATGCTTTTTAGCACAGCTGCAATGAAACCTAGTAAGAAAAGCAATAGCTCCCCTTCTCTGTGTTCAGCTTAAAAATGAGATTTTTAAGAAATTGAGGTCATGTCTATTTCACAGTGAGTATAAACCCCTTTGGGAACTTTTATAAAAGGCTCTCCTTAGGTATCTCTTGCCAAAATTCCTTTTTCTTTCCCACACTGGAAGGAAACAGGCCTGTTGCCAGTTGGCTTCTATGTTCCACCCAAAAGCATGTCAACAGTGAGGCTAAATGTGCCAAGGGAGTTGTTTTTGTATTTAAAAATGTAACACATCTGATAAATGTGCATTTTTTTAGCTAATAGAAATAATCACAACCAATTAAAACAGTAATAAAGTGTACTTGTAATAACCTTTAGGGCGAGATAAAGTAGTTCGCTTTTAAATGGAATGCCAAACAACAAAATACTTAACTCCCTGGTATTTTTGAGGCTTGCCTAGACATATGATCACTTGTAGTGACTCTATATTTTAAGGAAACTTATGCGACTATTATTACTGATTATACAACTTATACTGATTAGATGACAGAAAATATATACTATCTTCAAGTGGCTTTAAGGTGAAGCAGTTTATGTAGAAAGGATTTAATAATTGTACCAACAGTATTTTGGTAAAAGTATGAGCCTAATTTACTAGTTCAGCCTCAAAACAGTGTTTATTAATATCTGCTAATAATGTTTCTTTACATTTTACAAATCCAAACGATTTTTTTTATCTTTTCCAACATTTAAATGTAACATGAGCTAAGTATCAGAGAAAAAAAATAAAAAGTTTTATCATAAACCAGTGTGTATTCTGACATACATTATTCATGACACTACCAAAAGAAGCAACATAAAATTTCTGGGGCAATCTGCTCTTTTTGAACTATGTCAAACATGTGGACTTGGGAGATAAACTAAATTGCATTTATGTAACCAAATTTAAAACACTACTTCTAGAACAATAAATACATGGCTGTATATTTAATGTAAGGTCTTTTTTAAAGCTCAATATTGCAGGTTAACATGGTTCACAGTAAATAACTTATAGAGAAAAAGTCATTAGCAGGTGTGGGCTGTCAATCAGTCCACCAAGCATGCATTACTAGCATGCAAATGAACTGAATGAACTGTGTACCCTGTATATTATGTCCTTTTTCATGCCACAATGACCTACACTATCACTTTAAATGTAACAGCAGCAAAAGTGGCCAGAAAACCCATTAGACAGTTATGGCAGGTATAGTTGTAATATTACAACTGGGCATTCACTTTCAATGATTAAAATCCAAAGTGGCTTGGCAGAGATTTAAGTTATTTAGCTCAACTGGTATTCAGCATACTGATATTAAGTGGCAGTATATGAGAGCAGTGGTTGTTTGTCCAACTAAAAGCTAGTAGGGGCCTACTTGCTACCAATTACGTCAATGGATCTGGTTTTATATCTAATTGAGTGGGGACAAATGAAAGAAGAAGGCACACAAATTGGCCTCATTTTTCTCAACTTCCCTTGCATTACATTTGGAAGTTCATCTCCAAACCACCGCTTGCAAGTATAGGGCTAAAGAACAGAACAGGTAAACTCAATAGAAAGACCTCCCAAGCCTTACTGCCCAGCTTCTTAAATCATCATTCATCACATTTACCTATGTAAAAGGTACATTAGCTTACATTTAAGTAAAATTATCTGGTATTCCTGAATTATACTAGATCCCTGGACCATTTCCTACTCTCTTTCTCTACACATATACTTAAACACATACACGTGTACATGCGCATATACATACACATTATACAGTTCAAATGACACTCTGCTACTCTGTATGTTTACAGTAAATGTATATCCTGCATTTTCTAGGACCTGATATCATACAATGTTAGTACTTTGCACAAATGTATAACTGATTTAATTTCCAGAATTCCCTAATGTCGTCTACACAAATACATTCTCAAAATATGTGACCTGAATTTTCCAATTTCAAAAATTGGAGAACAGGGTCAGCCTACATTCTCAGCATAGTGCATGTATTTCACTGCCCACCTACCTCTTCACTTAAGGACCTTCCCTGGTGCCTACCTGACTGTATTTTCATCTGCTCAGATCTCTTCCACATACAAAGAGATCTGTTTCAAGTGACTCAAGTTCAAGCACAGATCCCTCTGCTCATCCTGCTCTCTTCTCACAGGAATCTTTCTTTCTCTCACCATTAAATTCTGCTCACCAGAATAATGAAATAAGATATAAGACTGTTGATCATTATTAAAATGGACCATATGTGGCCAAAAAGATTAAATCTAAAAAGTCCCAAAATAGTACTTAAAACCAATACAAAAATATCTTTTGGGGTAATACATGTCTAAATTATTTTGTATCTGCATTTTACATTACCAAAATTCTAAAATTATTTTATTTCAAAGATGTGTAGCCCGATTTACTCAAAATAATATCCTAACAATAGTGTAAATCTTGAAGTCCAGACATACATTAAAAGGAAAATTATGGAAAGGCTTTAAAATTACAAAATGTATACAGATGTGAGATTACTCAGTGGCCATTGCAAATCCTCAAAAATGGTAGATTAATGAAATTCATTTTTATATTCCTATTCCTGTTCTTTTACATAATAATCAACAAAATCAACTCAGCAGGATAACCAGTAAGAATTACAGCTCAGTCCACTTCTGCAGAAAGAGAACTGGACTTTAATAATTTAAGATTTTTCAAAACATAAAGAACGTTCTATTCATTTTAAGTGCGTTCCAATTTTGCCTCTTTTCTTGCTGCATTACTCTGAGAATTAACTGAAATAGGTAACTTTCACGAAAAAAGAAGCATTAAGCTTGTTGAAACTGTGGCTTAGCCAAAAAAAAAAAAAAAAAAGGAGGATGTGATTATAACTGTTATTTGTTATCAATTTTAATTCTGGGCTCCCATAGCCCAAGTAGGTGATGGGAGAGAGATGCTATGAGAAAAGCTGAGTGGCAAGTGAAGGAAAACCAGTGAAATTATGCTAGCACAGCAACAATGGACTAAGATGTCAAGGCACCTCCCCACAGCACTAAGCCCCTCAACTCAGAAAAGAGCATGTTGTCTATTGGCTGTCGGGCAGGGGGGAGGGGGGAGAGGGGAGGAGGGGACGGGTCTATGCATACGCAATGGGTGCGATGCGCAGCATCCGAGGGATGGACACACTTGAAACTCGGACTTGGCGGGGGAGGGAGGGGCAAGGGCAACATAGGTAACCTAAACATCTGGACCCCCATAATATGCTGAAATAAAAGAAAAAAAAAAGAGCATGTTGGCTTAGAAAACAGCGTCAAAACTCTTGAGTTTGGACACACTCCAATGACATTCCTTCATTTTTAATTCAAGGCTCAAACAGTCGTCTTAAATACCCCGTCTACTTAAATGCCCCAAGTCTCACTGAAGTCTGGCTATCTCACCCTCAAGGGTGCACAGACAGTTGAAAGGTTCATTATCACACAGGGGGCAAAGATCTTGAAAGCTATAAATGAGGAAGAAGAGAAGTTACAGTGGAGAATGTCGAGATGGGGCATTGGAGAGACGCCAAGTCTCGGGAGAAAAGTGTGTGAGGAGAGGTTTGACAGGCAGGAAAAGAATCCTGCTGAGGGTGGGTGAAACAGAATGGGAGGGGACAGGGAACAGGAAGGGAACTGATCTAGCGTTAGGCAGGAGGGAGAAAAGAACACCAGATGGGAAACCAGGAAATCTGAGTCCGGATCCCATCTGCTGCACTAGGACTTTAGGCAAATCCGTTCGCCTCTGTGGGCTTCCGTTTCCTCATCCCTAAGTCCGGACAATACCCAGCCTCCCAACCCCAGCGAGGCTCAATTAAGATAACGGACGTGGAAGTCCGGAGGCCAGCGTCCGGCGCTCAGGGGGCGCCCCGTGAACGTTGGTTGACTTGGAATCTCAGAGACTCGGCTTCCTCTTCCGGCCAGTGGGGCCTCGCCACCGGCTCTGCCCCGCGCATGGCGGCGCTCCAGGTAAACCGCAGAGCGGGCCGACCGGGAGGACGCGCCGGGCGGTTCCTCCGTGAGGCGGACAGGGCCCAGTGGGCTGGGGCCCAGGCCTTGTGGGCGAAAGGGAGGAGGGGGGTGGATACTGCACCTTCCCCCTGGCCCCGCCCGGACCGTCCCGACGCGCGTTACGGAGCAGGCCTGCGCCGCTTCATGCCGCACCGCCTCCACTCCCGTCCCGGATGCAGCAGCTTCCTCGGCGGTGGCGCCGGTGGCAACCCAGGCGGCGAACGCGGCACTTAGAAGCAGCGGCACCGGCCTCGGCCTCGGCGGCGGCGGCGGCGACAGCGACACTTCCGGTTCCTCGTGACCTGCCCTCTGACTGGCGAAGGCACAGGCGGACCAAGAAGGGCTCCGCTCTCTACTGGGGGGCGTCCAACACCACGGTGCCGCCTAGTGGCCGGAGGAGCGAAGGAGGCGCGGGAAGGAGTCTCGGCTGGGAAGGGGATAGAGATGAAATCCAGAAAGGGGCAGCGACTTGCTCAAAGTCACAAGACGAATTGTGGCGCGTTTCTACTCATTTTTTTTTTTTCATTCAACAAATATACGGTAAGTGCCTGCTCAGAGTAGACAAAATTCCTGTCCATGTGCCAGGCAGAGTTGCAGGGGCTGGGATCAGAGCAGGGAGCAAACCAGGCAAAAATCCCTGCCCCTTCATGGAGATGATAAAGAGAGGGAAGGGACTAGGGCTTGGAGATCTGAGCGACTCATTGTTGTGGTGGAAAGAAACCTGAACTTGGCGTCAGCAACTTGACTGTAAATATTGATTAGTGATCTTCAGCAAATCACTCCATGTCTTTGAGCCATGCTTTCTTTTTTTTCTTTTTTTTGAGACAGAGTCTTGCTCTGTCACCGGGGCTGGAGTGCGGTGGCATCAGCCTAGCTCACAGCAACCTCAAGCTCCTGGGCTCAAGGGATCCTCCTGCCTCAGCCTCCTGAGTAGCTGGGACTACAGGCATGCGCCACCATGCCGGACTAATTTTTTCTCTTAGTTATCTGGCTGATTTCTTTTTATTTTTAGTAGAGACAGGGGTCTCGCTCTTGCTCAGGCTGGTCTTGAACTCCTGAACTCAAGTGATCCTCCCGCCCCCGCCTCCCAGAGTGCTAGAATTACAGGTGTGAGCCACCACACCCGGCCCCATGCTTTCTTTATAAAAGGGATATAATAATACATGTCATTTAATCGCAATTAAAGAAAACTATGTCACGCTAACATATAAAAATGAAAAACTGGGGCCCAGGAGAGAAAAGGGAATGACTTGTTATAACCAGAACCAGAGGCAGGTCCCTTGACCTGCAGTTTCTTTCCTAGTCTACACTGTATATTGGCTGCAAGAGAAAAAGTGAGCCTAGCGAGATCACTGGGAAAGTAGTAGGTATAGAGCAAAACAGCGGAAAAGCTGGGCCCCCTATTTTCTATTATTACAAAGAATCATATGTCAGAATTGTGTGTTATTAGGATTTATTATAATAGCACTAATAAAAGATCCATTTGGGTACCATGTTACACTCCAGAGCATGTAGTTTAAAGGACCCTTCTCTCAAGCTTTTTTTAGTTGAGCTCCCTAAATGAAAGGTAAAGTCATTTTCTCTGGGTCTCCTCTATGAATTTTCTGCAGATGATCCGAGAGCAGATTTTAAGGCTTTAAATGCACACACATACTAACAAAATACATTAAAATATCTTGCGCTTTATTTCATTCATCCAACAAGTGTTTATTGAATCTCTACCACTGTTACTGACCTCACGGTTCTTGGCCCCCAAGTCAACAGAAATTGGCACAAGACCGAAAAAAGAATTCATACAGGCCAGGCTTTGTGGAGCGGAGGAGGGGTTTGCTGGAACAGAAGGAAGACAGTGCTGGTTAAGGAGCAACCAGACTGGCTCTCCGAACAAAGAGCTGGGGAACTTTTAAAGGGTAGAGAGAGAAAGTTTGGCACTAGCATTGAAATCATAGCGTGTAGAGGTGGAGTTTTGTTGGCAGCTGCCCATCCAGCAATCATGCTTCTTCATACATCGCATGTCTCATTAGCATGTTAAATCTCCGCCCTTGGGCGTGATTTTTAGTATTTAAATGAGGCAAAATGTCTATGACCAGTCTACTTTGGGC